CTCCCCAGCGGCAGGAAGTGTCCTGTGGGGGGACCGGATTTCACGGGAATTCTCCCCAGCGGCAGGAAGTGTGCTATCTCTTATGAACGAACGCTACAAGTTTTTCAGGATGGTGAAGAAGAAAACATTGGAGAGCCGGTGAATGTCTTCTGTGTGGAACCTAGTGACCCAAATATCACGAAGCACGAAGAAGACTATTTCCGCGAAACATTTGCGGTGGGTTTGCCCGCAAATAACAAATTATGCTGCTCACAGACAGCATTTTTAGATTATTGTTAAGTAGCTGCTGAAATTCCCGACTTTCTAGATAATGAATGAGTATGGTGTCGGTGCTGTTTGGCTGTCTGAGGAGAAAGCTATGAAGGTGACGTCAAAAGATAGTAGTTTCTATTTCGTAGCGGCGTTCCGGGGACGGGTATTTGAACATCTGAAGAAGCTCAAGGTCAAGTAAGTGAAGTCAACAGCATTTCCTTTGTTGAAACATATTTTCTGGATGGATAAATGCTTTTGAAGCACTTGTATCGGATCCTCTGTTGGTGAGCTTTCGGCGATAACGCCGTCATCAGACCTTCAAAATACAATACTTAGTGACCTACAGCTACAACAATTATATTAACATTAGCATCAATACCTACCACGGGCGGGAGGGGACCACGGGTGGTGGAGTGAGCCTGCTGGTGCGGCGGCGCAAATGAAGTGAAGACTCTCCAGCAGCCAGCCCCAAGGCACATGGGTCTTCTTTTGTCGCAGTTATCACGCGATTAGCCTTAGGAGGTCACGTAGCTCCTCCCTCGCGTTGATTGCTGGCTTGATGCGATGGATTTCCCTCGCCTCCATGATTTTCCTCTCTAGCGGTCGTACTAAATGTTTGTGCAGAACACTCACATCAAATGGTGGAGGGTCCTCGTCCCCATATTTGAGGGTACGATGCTTGGAGAATGCGCTGCGTGTGTAGGGGGCGGGATTGGACAACGCTCTTCCGTGTTCGTCGAGACGATACTTCAGCGGTCTTGCAGGCCTTGGGGCTGGCTGGAGAGTCTTCACTTCATTTGCGCCGCCGCACCAGCGGGCTCACTCCACCACCCGTGGTCCCCGCCCGTGGTAGGTATTGATGCTGATGATAATATAATTGTTGTAGCTGTAGGTCACTAAAGTATCGTATTTTGAAGGTCTGATGCCGGCGTTATCGTCGAAGATACAAGAGCTTCAAAAGCATCTATCCAACAGTTTCGATGAAGCTCAGAGTTAGCAGCATTCTACAATACTTTCTGGAACCTTTCCAGTATATCTGTTTAGCCTTTATGGAGTACACGTCGTTCGACAAACATTGAATAACGGCGGATCGTTACCACGATGGGACTTTCCTGTATATTCGCTGAACATGACCGGTGCATGTGTTTGCTTTACAGGACTTCCTCTCGATAGACGTGTAAGATCTCAGATTTTCATTTTTTTCCGTCTCACATCGATTAGGTTAGGCAGTAGGTTCTTATGCTTCTGGCCGATCCAAAACTGCCTGCTTGTGAAGAATGAATTTCGATTACTCGCGAGCAATATAGTTCTACTTAAAAGCGTCCCTTGGGGAAAGTGTCAGATTACAGTCACCATCAGTGCTGGGCGGGGTTCAGAATAAGCGATTAGCTGGATACGTGCGTAGATTATCTTCGACACTATCAATTTAGGAGGAGTTGAAAACCAAAATAAATTACATGAATGGAGTTGTATCGCCATGTTTGACGGAGAGAGTTACACATCTGGTCACGGAACATTGTGACACTGCGTCCAAGAAGTACACGGTAAGCACTCTTCGCTGAGTTGTCGAAAGAAACCTTAGCAGAATGGGCGCTGTTCGGCTTAGGAGGGGATCTTTTGCACTCTCGCCAGTTTCTTCCGTTAGGTTCTCTTATACTACACGTTTCACCTTTGCAAGTCCTGTATACTCTTGTCAAGAGTGAACGGAACTCAGGCTCCTTCAGGAGTTAGCTTTTCAAGAGCATACCTCCACAAGAAATATCGGCAATAATCGATGAGGACAGAAAATGCCACCACCAAGCCGAACTGCGCCGCAAAATCTGTTTTTATTTTTCTTTATTGTCATGATTGAATCTCACGTGCTTCTGAAACCACTGGAATGTGACGTCGGGGAAAATGTTTGCCTAATGCGACCCTCTCCCAAATTTTCTCCTCCAGTACGACTCCTTCCCTGACCGACCTATCGTCTTGTGAAACTCTCTGGAAATCCAGAAGTTCGCGGTCAGGCAGTGGGGGGGGTGATACCTTCAATCAATCGCTGCATTATTAGAAGTAGTAGTTTTACTGCGCCGCGTGGATATAATGCGCGTGAGTTACTATCCCATCCTCTCCAGCGATCGAGTAGGATCTCCGCTGGAGGTTACCTCGGTATGCCATACGACTTACGAAACCTGATTGCAGTCGATCCCATTCTCAAAAATCGAGTTATCGTTCAAACTCTCTTAAATAATAATAAAAAGCTGTTTTTTTCATCGGATTTTCGAATTCAAAATGTCACTTTCTTAAAAATTATCCTAATCGCCATCTGTGATAGGAGGCTCGAAGAATGAGTTTACCTATCATGCTGCCAACCTGGATCGAAAAAGCATGGGAAGCGGCTCAGCTTTTCTCAATTGATCTCTTCACGTCAGAGGAATTGACGCAGCAATACCGTACACCTATCTTCAACAATATGGTGAGCTTTTGTCTTTCTTAGAACTATCCTTAGAACCTATTGGTACACTCTTATGTTGCGATCGGTTAGCCCATTCGTGTAGAGATCGTGTCAGGATATCTGTCAACAATATGGGTGAGCTTTTGTCTTTCTTAAGAACTATCCTAGAACCACTATTTGACACTATTTATAGTGCGATCCTCGTTAGCCGCATTCGTCGTAGAGACCAGTGTTAACGTGGATATCTGTCAATCGCTAAACTCCCTCCTTCTTACTTCTTTACCTTCCTTTTCTCTTCCCTCTTGCTTATTTTCTTTCCTACAAATGCTCGGTCAGAAGATGCTACAGGAAAATGCCTCAGGGCCCTCGCACAAAGGGAGACTGTGGTTGACAGAGGCCCTGTGGCCGTAGAAGTCCATATTCGCTATTCTGCATCTGGACTAGTGTAATTGAGTTGAGGAAAAGTCGTACACAGCTTATGGTGAAGTAATGCTGGGATTATGTAGGTAGGCCATTCTGCTTGCATTTTTAGGTGAGTTTCATTTCATTTATTGGACGATTGTGCAACGTAGCACAGAGTAGACATAAAGCAGGGACAAACTAAATGTTAAAAAAACAACACAAAACAAAGAAAAAAAAACCAGCTCAGATAAAAACCGATTATGTTGCTTCTACGCTCACATATGCAGACAGTAACTACAACACTTCAAATGAAATCACCGACCCGCCTCTTGAAAGTAGCATACTTTCAAAGGGAACACATTCGAACGTAAGAGCGAATTGAAGTTGGTACAAATTCTATTACTAAAAAACCTTGACCTGTACTGAGTCCTAGCAAACGTGGCACTAAGTCTGATACTCACTCCTCTTGTATTAGTAGACAGTACTTGGAAAAACTGTTCAACGTCCAATTTCACTAAGCCATTTAATATTTTGTAAGCCATCAGTAAATCATATCTCTTCCAGATGGTGCATAATTGTATGGGGTATGGCCTATGCAATCAGGTACAGCATGGAGATGTTGCGAAATGTCGGTGTGAATGCGACCCCGCCACCTCGAATGGGGTCCCAGGCACGACACCACGGGTATACAATAAACGTTATCCCACGGCGTACAAAATGCATATAGTGCATATAAAAAATTAATACGACCCCCCCCCCTTTTCCACAAGAAAAATCAACTATCAAAATAAATTTGTCTTCAAATACGACCCCCCCCCCAGCAGAGCACAATTCACGACCCCCCCTGGTGTTTTGACACAACGATGCTGTCGACTGTATGCAATGATTTGAGGGGGTTAGTCGATGAATAAGTCAATGTGCTTGTCAAACCAATCTGGCACCAGTTCACAGCGCCGGATGGTAGGGCGCTTGGTGGACTTGGGCCGTACTCGCTCTGGGATTCGACCCCTGGATCTGTGCATGGTAAGGGGGCCTTTCGTCACTGCACCACCTCTGCTTCGTTGTTTCTACTTTCTCTGATTTGACATTGACCAATGAAATGGGAAAGTAGACTGGAGATCGAACTATCCCATGTCTTTAGGTAGTAACCGCAACGGGTGTTAGCGGTAGCGAACGTTTGAACATCGCTCGGCTAGTTGAACTTCATGGTGGACGCTTCTCAGGTGATATGAAGAGAAACGAATGCACCCACTTGATTGCTGATCAAACTAAAGGAGTGAAATACAAGAAGGTGAGAAGTTTGCTCAACATACCTCGCTCACGTCGACTGAATGCCCCTTCATATTTGTGCTGAAACAAGGGGGGCAGGTTGAATCCTCCTCCCATAGCTTGGGAAAGAGGAGGCCTGGAGAATCGCGGAGTTGAGAGAATCAGAGAAAAGGAAAGCATGCGTACTCGACCTGGTGAATCAGAGAATTTCAAAATCAGAGAATCCGCTGAAAAGGTTACATTTTAGCGATTGATCTCCTGAATTTTTCCAGTTCTTCACATCGTTACGTATACTTTCCTTTCCGCGGATTTTTCGACTCTCCTCGCTCCGCATTCTATGATTCTCCCATCCGCTGATTCTCTGACCCTCCCGCTTCCGCGGATTCCCGATTCTCCATCAAAGTATTTAATTTAAGAATGTAACCCTAGAGATGAATGGAGTATGACCATGTCAATCTTGTGAGTCTCCTTCTAAAATCAGTGGAAGGGTGTAGATATCGCGACGGAAGGCAGTTCAATGTTTATTTCCCCTGATTTTATCGTACAATTTTTCAGGCGCGTGAATGGAAATCCATCAAAATTGTACGGTCTACATGGCTACGGAAATCCGTAATGGCTGGTTACATCCTTCCAGAAAGGTATTGCTCAACAGATTTTCTTAGGGAACTTCTAAATTTGCTTATTAATATCGTAGTAACATGAATAACAACAGCAAAAGTGGTTTCATTGTCAAAAGTGGTTCGGCAGCTTTTCATCAGGAAGACTTCGAGATTTTCTGCCCCACCCATTCAAAATTCAGGCCAGACTGATCGAAATGGTTCTTTTAGGATAGTTATGCCCAATACTCGGTCGCCGGGGTTATCAGACATGAGCGCTAATATCACAGCCTGCAGAGCGCAAGTGTTCGACCTTAACGGCTTGAACGCCGCAGGTATTTTTGGCGCCTGTGCCCACTGCATGCTGAGAATACCCTCGAGAAGAAGTTTTCAACAAATTCACTGTCCCGAGGAGTATTGGCGTCGGCGTCAGTGGCGCTCTAGGCGGTTTTGAGCCCTGCTCGCGCGATATCGTGTTCAAGGGTCCAAGTTCCTCTTCCCCCCACTTCCGCGAGGAGTTCTGATGAAATCAGGATGGTCGGTTTTTCGAAGACTGAGTGCAGAAAGATTAATAGTATCAAAAGTGTCTGCTATAACATGAGTGCAATCTGAACAGTGTTCTTTGAAATATCCACAAAATTCTTCTTCAGTGCCTTTGATCCAGAAAGGCGAAATCGATGCAGTACGCCGGTGCAAGAGTCACGGTTAGTAGAACCGGAAGAGCTGGACTGTAGCGTGATTCAAGGTAGGCATCTCAATGACTTTGATCATATTTTGCTATTTTCTGTGCGTAGTCATGTAACACGTGAACCTAAACGTATAGGCAGAAGTAAAACCCCAGGTCTTGCCCGAGGTCTGCTCTGCCCATATTTGATTCTTTCGAAGTGAGGCGTTGAACAGTAGCCAGATATCATTGTAAAACGATTACAGCTCACCTTTATCATAAGCTCTATTCTCGATATATCCTTCTAGATCTTTTTTCTTAGGTAGAGGCGGTCGCTTGGATAACTCGACTTTCAATACGCAAATAACAAAAAATGACGAAGGTAGTGAAGCGGAACGCACTCCACTGTCGTCAGTTCGGTGCGTGGACTTGTCCCCGTCCCTTAGGCATTCTGACCTCCTTGCACTTATGCCCTTTTTCGCTATTTTAGCAGCAATCTCCGCCGTGAACCAAGTCGGCATCGCCTCGCCACGTCAACGCCAGTTGTTATTGATCCCGTAGATCAGTTGGACGAAACGTGCCTTCGAGGCGATTTCGATTTTCTTGAAGTAAGTTAGACGTTTCTGTCTTTGCGCCCAGAATGGCGGCTCCGGCTGATTCCTTTAGAATTTCTTTTGTAATTGTGAATTCAGGGTTGTCGCAATTTTGGGTATGCGCGCTGGCGGAGCAGTCGCGCTGCGGACAAATGAAGAAGATTTCTTGATTAGGTTCGTGGCTTACCTAGAATTCGCATTTACTTTCCGCGGTACTGGTTCCATCGATCACTGCCACTACCTTTCCAGTCGGAAACTGGAAATTACTCTAAGCTGATACACAACAGGAGCTCCGTCTTACACTTTGGCAAGGGTCCCCATGATTCACCAAGCTGTTGACGGTAATTCAGCATGAATTAGCGGAGTGTAAAATGATGCCGCCCCCAAAGCCGAACAGCGCCAGAAATTCAATTCATATTCGTATTTAAGATGTGACTATGCTGTTAGCTCCCGAATTTCTCTGTTCATTTTAGAAGCGGTGCCACCCGTGTGGCTGGTATGGAAGCTGCCCAGTCCATTAGTGTCGTGTTCATGCATCGCGCACAAAATGACCGCAAAATCGGGCTCTTCAAGCTAATATGCCGTTCTGCGTGGTGCTCACATTGTTCGTGCCGAATGGATAACAGCTTGTTATGCGAAAAAAGATCAAGTGGCCCTTGAAGGTGTGCCATTTTTGCTTCCGATATTTTAAGTTTATGCTAGTCTTTTCAGAGTTTCTGTGGGATCCTGACGATATCATCTGCCGTACTGCTTCATTTGTTTCTGCACAGGCATTGGACGATACGCCTAGGGTAGGCTCATTTCTCTTGAATTGTTAGCGGGTTCTTTATCGCCTATTGTTGGTAAAATAAGTACTATCAACGAAGACGTCTTTCATCGCATGGATCTTTCTGCGTCCACAGTCGATAGAACAAGTGCCCACAGTTATCGGCGATACGTTCAGGGGCCGTAGTAGAGAGACGTTCCCACACTCCCCCTCCCCCCGTTCAGGTCTCCGCCCTCTTTACGACAGCTGTGTTATGAGAGTACGCTCAAATCGTTGCCGCTCGCATTCTATCAGTCAGAACGACCAGATCGCAAAGTATGAACGCGCAGTCAGTCCTGGCAGCACCGGACCACTGCAATGGGAGGAGCGAAAAACGATAGCAAGAAAAGATAGACCAACAGGCCTGCAAAAATAAAATAAACGATATTAGAGAGTAAAGTCTCTGCCGCTGATCAATCCCTTTTTGAGATGCGGCTCTGGTGCCATGCTGAATCGTAACGGCTCACTGAGTGCCATATAGCTTATACAATGACTTGCGGGGCCAGCCGATGTACAAGTCAGTGTTCTTATCCTCCCAGGCGGAATCTGGTACCAATTTACCGTCCCCGAAAGGTAGAGGGCTTGGTTGGCTTGGGAGAGGCAGTTTGACACCTAGACAGCGCGCGTGGTATGCGCGCCCCAAGCCATTACACCATCGCCGCCTCAAAAAAGGAGATGAACATTCCAAGTGCGTTTGGGGAGGTAAAACTGGCGCCGATGTCCATTTGCTAGCATGGTGCCTGCGGACTGAAAATCGTCCAAGCTCCAAAAAACTTGTACAGTTCTAGAATGACGACAGTCGTACCGTGTCGTAGGTGTTAGGGGTCTTGCTTGGGACGTTTTTGACGTCTTTTCTTTTGTCATTCTCCCTAGTCTCACTTTTCACGAATGTTCATTCTAGCGATCCAATGCTGAAGTGTCTCGACCGAGTGGCTCCACCACAGCGACAAAAGAGTTAGGTGGTTCGGACTACTTGAATGTGGCTCCGATTGGCAACATTTCAGATGACCCTGACTTATCTTCTATTTTTCGGTAAGCGAATTGGAAAACCATTCATATCGATTTTGATATGTTCTTCATGTAGACTAGTGGTATTCATATGAGGCCATACAAG